CGCTCAGTCCCTCTCTCGCATTTCGGCACCAGGGAGGGTCGACCTCCCCAGCACGCCGCCGGGAGGGGGTCACTGCGGGAGGGTTCCCCCGGCAGCCCCAGAGATGAGCAGTTACGAATCAAATAAAACAGGACGCCTGCCCACCTCCCCTCTTCCCCACAGAGAGCCGCTTTGTGGTAGATTTTTTTAGCGTTTTCTTTGCACTAAGGCACACTACGGCTAAAGTATAACTGCCAAAGATACATTTGCATGCAATTACCCATTTTAAAAGGTGGTAATAAAGTCAAAGGAATCTACTTAGACACAATCTGCTCTCCAGACCTTGTCCTCACAAGACCTAAGCACAAACCTCTGAGATTACTGCAACAGTCAGTGCAGCTACCGCCAAGAAGCTAAATCATTCCCACTTCTTCCTATTAACTCAGCTCTGGCCCATCAAATATTAAAGAGCCTCAAGCCTGGACACAGCTCATTTTACGAAGGTCAAGCAAATCTTTCATCTCTTCTCTTCCCACCTTTATCTCCCACCACTGTTCCCACCATCAGATGAGCATCACATGCTCTTTCATGTGAATTTTAGCTGTACACACACTACCTCTCAGTAATTGGTGTACACGGCTCCTCTATTCCACAGAGACATGATTATTTCATCGCTATTTTTGCTTTATAAGGGTAAAGCAAGAGATGACTCTTTGCCTGAAGGAGGGACTTAATTTTTATTGATTTTATTTATTTTAAATACTCAACGGTTTCTCAGTACATCCTCATGACGATACCAAAGAGAAAATAACCAGAGCGCAGAGGGCTGAGGAGCCACCAGCAGGCAAAGGGCTGGTGAACCTCCTGCGTGGGACATCACCCGACCAGCTCATTCCCGAGGAATCCGGCTGGACAGAGGAGGAATGTCCCCACGGGTTCATCCCCACCGGAGCAAAGTCCCCACAGGTTCATCCCCATCACACCTTCCCATCTCCAGCGTCCCTCACAGATTTCTCGCGGCAGAGGATGCGCAGGGGTCCCTGCCCGGCCCCTCGGGACCCTGCGCTTGCTGTGCTGCCAGGGGTTAGCGCAGGGCGGCTGTGAGGAGCAAACCAACCCACCAGGCAAGCTCATCTGCCCGGGGCTGATTTTTGATATGCAAAGGTCCTTTGATAGGCTGATGTTTTCTCCAGGGTGACCTCCCTGCTCGGGAAGTGGGTTTACCTGCAGTCTGGCTCAGCTCTTCCCTTCCCCGGCACTACGACCTGACCACGCGTTTCACAAGCTCTGCGTGAAGCTGTGCCCTGGGGAGCACTGAGGGCACCACGAGAGCACGCCGCGACCCCGGGCACGCTGCTAGCTTTCTGCAGAGGCTTCACGTGACACAAGGAGACACCAGCACCATGGTGGGCTTTGGGGGGGATGGACGTGATGCCCCTTTTGGCAGTCCGGGGGCTTCGGCTGCCCTCAGTGCTTTCCCATGAAGTGGGTAAAGAATAAAAAAAAAACTTAACAGAAAAAGAGAGACTGCGATGGAATTGGTCCATGCCAAAATCCCGGGTCCGCACATGCCAAATCCCATCTGCTGCACAGGCGCCTGGGTCTCTGTCTCGCAGCACCCCGGGGCTGGCCCCGCTCCCAGCGGCATCCGGCAGCCCCGGCCCGGCCCCCAGGGCCCCCCGCCACCAGCTCCTGCTGCCACCCCTGGGGACACGCCCCCCCCAAAACCAGCCACAGAGTGTTTCCAAGCCCTCTCCCAGACTCTCCATCCCCTATACATTGCCTTTGGGCGCTTCGCAAGGCTTTCCAAGCGCAGCCCCCAGCCACGCAGGGCAGGAGCGTGCCGGAGCTCTCCAGAGCAGCCCACAGCCCCCTGTGGCAGCCAGAAAGGCAGCTCCCTCCTGCCCCGGGACAGTGGGTTTGAGAGGCAGGGACGGCCCGCTGCCAGCTGCACGTCCAAAGCCGAAGCGGTGGGACGGGGCGCACAAGGTCCCCAGTGCCCCGGCAGGGCACGGGCACAGCTCCCCGGGGCACCGCCAGACCCAAACTCACCAGAGCTTCCTGGGCATTTCGGAGGCCGAGCAGCGAACGTGGCCGTTCAGCAGCAGCCGCTCAGGGATGCTCGGTCCTCTGCAGCGCCTTCCCTGCCCAAGCGCAGCCCTGGTACCTCCCGGTGGTGCCCGTCACCAAAGGGGGACGGCGGAGCCCCTGACCGCGATGCCGGCGCTCCCCATCCCTCACCTCTCCCCGACACTCCCACTCCGCAATGTCTACTCATTCTCTCCAGCCCCGAGTCCCTCAGACATATTCACGGTTACCATAGGAACTAATGAAACCCAAATTAAAAAAGAAAAAGGAGAGAAAAAAGACAGAGTGAAAAACGCTTTGATGCTCTGGTGCCACCTGCATGTGCGCGTTTATTATGGCGAACAGCGAGAGCGGCGGCGGGCAGGGGAGCATCCCGCAGCCCCCCTCGCTCAGGCCCTCCATCTCACCAAATACTGACCTTGCGCCGGAGCCGGCATTCGCCCTCGGCCCCGAGCGCCCACTGGGACGCGAACCCACCGCTCCCCACCGCCACGCTGCCCTGGGACGAGGGGCTCGGCGCTGCCCCAGCAAACCGCCCTCACCCCGGGCACAGGGGTCCTGCAGCCCCCAGCCGCGCCGGGACCCTCTCTGCAGCCCGAAGCCCGGGGCCGCATCCACCGCCACGCGCGACTCCTCCCCTGCCAGCCTTCTGCAAGTCAATATTGACGTTCGCCGCGTGCACAAGGCTTCACCAAGTGCTCCTTGGCTTGCAGAACGCAGCTTGTCTTTTTGTTAACAAGTTATACAGCGAAAGAAAATTGCCCACGCCTGGTATCTTAGCCAGAAGGCTGTGGCAGCAATAAGAGGGCGTTAGAAAACCAAAACTTTTTTTTTTTTTTTTTTTATTTTTAAAAGTTTTAAAAATATCTAATGTGGCTCTGGCTGGGCCCCAATTACCGAACCATTTAATGAAGCAATCTGTCCACAAACCAGAGGCGCTATATGAGGCCATGGAAAGCATTGGCTGCAAACAGTGGGCACAAAACAACTCGAGTGGACACTCATCGAACCCGCGGAGCAAACCCCCTCCCCGGGCCGGGGCAGGAGGGATGGAGAGAGCAGTGTGGCCCCAGACCCTCACCGCTGCCCGAGCGGGAGCGCGGCAGCGTGCCCCACGGCGCCGGCACTGCGCTCCCAGCGCGGCACAAACCGCCCGGCGCGGTGGGGACAGGAGGGTGAATGGCATTTCTGCAGCAGAATTGCCGCACAGGCCCTGCAGGAAAATAAAAAAATCAGGGCACAGCGTACAGCAGCATACACGGAGCAGTTAAATCCTTCTCAGCTCCACGGGAAAAGGGAAGTCTACCGAGATTTCCCTCCCCTCCCAAAAGCGGTAAACATTGATTTAAACTTCTCATTAGTTCAGCAAAAACCTGAGCAATGAGCGTAGCAACAGCGTTTCTGTTGTGCTGTTTACAGCGGGCATTTGCAGGCTCACTCAGGCAGCAGGTTCCCCCAAGGCTGTCTGTATACTTTTCCATTAATGAATAATTTGCACAAGTAATGATTATAGAAGGGAACCGCATGAGCTGTTACCCGTACACATTACCCTGCGCTCAAGGGAGGCTCGGCCAGAACAGTTCTATATTAGCTCATGGTTTCGCTGATGGTGCCGGAGCTGCGCGTGTGCCTGCAATGGAAAACCCCCGACTCGAGGAGCTTATGCAGAAACCAGGGAGAGGGGACAACGTGCCGCGGCGGGAGGGATGGGATCAGTCCCACCGGTGACACGGCCGGGAGGACAAGGCTCTGCAGGAACGGGGCGCAGGTCCCAGCCAGCCGCGGGTGCCGGGGGAAGAGCGAGCATCAGTACCACCATTCCCAGTCCTTCCTCACTTGCTCTTCCCCATCCAGTGGATGGCGTTTTCATAGAATCACAGAATGGCTGAGGTTGGAAGGGACCTTTTAAGATCATCGAGTCCAACCATTAACGTAACCTGACAAAACCACTTCTAAACCATGTCTCCAAGTACCACATCTGCCCTTTTTTTAAACACCTCCAGGGATGGCGAATCCCCCCCCACCTTGGGCAGCCTCTTCCAATGTTTGATAACCCTTTCCGTGAAAAAATGTTTCCTAATATCCCATCTAAACCTCATCTGACATAACTTGAGCCCATTTTCTCTCATCCTATCACTTGTC